GACCCAAGAGTGGGTGGATGAAGGTCGATTGCCAAAGGAGCGAACAAAATCGAAGGTGGAAGAGACCGTGCGATGTATTGGCAGAGGACACACATGGAGGGTTCACAATTCGAGTTTATTCCACAAGGATCAGAATGCAATGGAGATGTCACCAGGAGGCGACATGGTGCAGCGGATCGTGGTGGAACAGTTCGTGGCAATGCGATACACACGACATAGTCCTGTGAGGGACTAGATCATACGAAGGTATGATCGGGAGCTACTGGAAGCTCCACTTCAGTGAACAACACAACGACAAGAAGGGCTATGGATTCAAGGAGTGAAGGCCATGGTACTGCAGAGGTCTTCCGTGCGTGCATCGAATTTTGCATCGGATGAAAACCTTGGTCATCAGCATATGGGGGCTGGGTTCCACCAAGGGAAAAGTTCGAATGCAAGTACCAGTGAGTTCCATGGGAGGGACTTGATCATGCAGAGGTATGATCGAAGCAGCTGGAGAGTTGGACTGCTCCAGAGCTCATATTCGCTTAAGGGAGCCCGATAAATCATAGGACAAGGTCGAGTAAGCGAACGTTGCTGCCAAGGAAGCTAAGGAGAACATAATCGGTGCAAACCCTACAACGTGATGGCAGAGGCCATGCATGGGAGTTGCAATCTGTCTTCCCATCTACCAAACGGACTGCTTGGAGAACACAGAGGTGTTGAAGCAGGGGGTCGAAAGGGGCGAGGAAGCAACGACGAGTCCAGAGGGACTTAGCTACCCAAAATCAAGCACCGGTTAGAACGAAGGTGGACTCGGAGGAGTGCCACAGAGGCATATCTACTGATTGTGAAGAAAAAGGATGCAGATGCGAGGCGACGGATAGTAGGGCCATGGGCATGGCAGCGCCATGGTACCGCAGAGGTGGGACTTCCGTGAAAGTCATTGATCCCTTGCTCTCATGGAGGGAGAGCGCTTGGTCGTGAAAGGGGCCGAAGAGGTGGAGCATGCAGAGGCAATCTCCAAGTACCGAGACAAGGCTGAAGGGCAGAGGCCGAGGAACTTCGTAAGACCGGTGTCAATGAGCTTCTCATCAAGATAGCCGAAAGTGAAGGACTTCAGGTCATGCAAGAGTGCATAACCAAGGAACGAAGCAGGCAGTACGCGGTGCTGTACCTTTGTTACTCAGTGGAGTAGGCGGTAGGGTTCATGGAGAAGACAGTACAATCCTAGAGGCGACCAAACCTATGAGAGAATTACTCCAAGTTGGGGTGAAAACTTCCTGCATTCCAGAAGTTCGATGGCATTGAGAAGGTGAATCACAGTAACTAACTCAACGCAAGGAGTGCAAACACTTCAAGTGCTTCAGAAGTGTGAGCAAAGAGCAGGCGAAGGCTAGTAACTAGCTCGATGCATGAAGTACAACCTCGAGGAGGCGGGCGAAGTCAAGTAACCTTTGCCTTCTCAACTCTTAAGAGAATGGGCGAAACTGAGTACCCCAATTCTCTTATCTATCCAACAGAGGAGCTCTGTATATGTTCAAAGACCCTTCGAAGATAATGAAAGACAATAGTTGTCAAATCCTCACCAATGGTGATCAGTGTTACTGAGAGTAGATTGTCCGCTTCATTTCCCAACGAAATTCAAATCGAAAGCGGAAGTGATGCGAACCTACTTGGATGTGACAACTAAGTGAAAGAAGAGTCAATGAGTAAATTTGGTGGAGGAAGGACCCAAAACTTCAGAAGTTTGCGAGACGATGCTCGTTAAAGCTCCAACAAGCATCCATCCAGTTCAAGCAGCATGAGACATTTGAGAGACTGACGCAGTAAGGATGGTCTTTTCCTTCATCTGGGGGATCCGCTGGAATCAACAAGGATCAACACAACTCAGCCAACCCCACACTAGAGTCAGAGTCATTGGTGAGTTGAAGCAGCATGGCGGATCAAAAGGTTCGACTACTCAAAAACAGTAGCGGGGAGCAGCTGGGAGCCAAGAGGCGCATTGTAGCTGGAGCAGAAGATTGAAGACTCAGCAAAGGCGAGGAGTTGCAGTGTCGACAAAGGCTTCAACGAGGACGTCGAAGGAATAAGTGGGGGAGAATGTCACGGACAAACTTCTAAACAGGATGTTTGATGTAATGCTTATGTATGTCCGTGTCTTTTGGTATGTTCATGCCTTGTACAACATGTAGAGGGACGGCCGAAGACTTAATAGTCCCATTTTAGTTGGGTTGGTGGCCTCTTTAGGCTTGTAAATAAAGGTTGTGTCATGTGGACACGTTCGAGAGATTTTCGGTCTGTAATGGACTATTTTATATTTTACCCTTTGTTGTGCAACTGTTCAGAGCTTGTAAAGTCTGTTTGTAATTTGCATTGTCTATGAAGTGTTTTTCGGAGATGTTTGCTTGTGGATCCCGATTGAGGCGTTCTCTCTAACCCGTTCTCTCTTTTGTTGGTCCTAAGGGACAATGGGAGGCTTCGGGGAGGCTGACCTTTGCGGACGGACACGCAAGGGTACCGCACGACTTAGGCAAAACCAGCTAAGTCCGTGATAGAGCGGTACACCCAGGTGTACCGAGCGGTACACTCAGGTGTGCCGAGTACTGTAGCACTGATAACAGGCGGTCTGCGTACCAGCAACCTGTCGGACCGGTACGTACCGCCCATACCAGGCGGTACAGTTCGGTACTGCAGACCCTGCTTAAAACTGTTACATGGAATCTTGTGTTGCCATTCACAAGCCGTGTTGGATATGTATTTGTGTTCATATTGACACCGCAAATTATCATTATATCACTACAACATTGACTGAAGATGACAAGCCTTGTTGTCATGTTACAATAAGATTACTCTTCTGCATCCTGACTGACCACTAAGCATTCCTATTAACTTCCAATTTTTATCCTGTCACTGTATTCCAGAACAAGTGCTATATTGGTGTACTTTTTGTGGTCATTATTAGTTTACTATTTCTATTATTTTTATCATCATCATTATTATTGTTATCACCAACTTTTGTGATTTTCATATCTCAATTTCGTCTTTTTGCCTCGTTTGGATGCATGCCTGTATGAATTTCTCAGATGTTTTATGTCAGTGTCACATTTTTCAACTTTGGTTGCTATTTCATTGTTTTGCTTTTACTACATCTGTAGGATCATAGTGGTTGATGAGGGGGGTTTTCTTTCACCTTGGGAAATAATATTAAGTGGTCTTGCACTTGCTTGATTGGTGATAGATGGACATTATCTTTGAAAGACCCACAAATTTAAGCCTAATCAAACTTATTTGATTCAGTTTTTGTTTAACATGATATTAATCTGGATCAAGCTTTTTATATATCAGTGTCTGAGCATGATGGTGCATGTTGCTGACTGTGTGTTGAACTACTACTTAATGCGAGGATCTAGATCAGAGAAGGGAGACTGCAAGGAGTTGATCGATGTCTTATGAAGGATTTCAGATTGTGTTGCCATATATTACGTTTTGAAGCCAGCAAGGATTTCTCAGAGGTACCTCACAAGAAGCACTTTGACATGCTTCCTTTTCTGTCATCTAAAACCCTTAATTCTTCTGCAGGGTTGCAGGGCTATATTGGTGGATAAAGATAGGAATCCGAAGGTCTGGTTCTTTACCGATCTTTAACAAAACTTAAGGTTCCGTGAAACACCTGACGACAAATTTCTTGTAATTGTTATTTGCAGTGGGAGCCTTCTAGATTGGATCTGGTAGATTCCAAAGTGCTTGATCAGTATTTTGCTGAGGTCGACGATCCAAACTGGGAGGACCTAAAACTCCCATCAAGATGCAGCTTAGATGTCAAATTTGTGTCAAAGATTTGAAAGGTAGGTCCGAGGAAGCTTCTCCCTATTGACTCTCTCACAACAAATCAAAGTTATCAGATATATAGAATGTTTAAATAGATTGGTCTTCCTAGGAATATTGATGAATAAAAGGAGGTTTTGAGAATGCTAGCTTTACTTTGCAAAAGCTCTTCCTAATGAGTCTAAGATAGTTTTACTTTGAGGTTCATAATTAGAGTTCAGGCTGGTATTGTATTGGTCTGTGCTAATCTATATTATCTATATTGTGTCATTACATTGACACATATTGTTTAAAAAATATATATATATATATATATATATATATATATATATATATATATATAATGTATAAAATGTCAGGTGTATCGTATGATATTGGGTCTTTTATCCGATACAGAGGTACATGTCTTGTACTAAATAATGTAACTGTTATATACAATATACCATTGTTGATTTTGGTCCATGTATTGGTAAATTATCTAATCGATAAATAAAGTTTGAATGATAAGTACTTTAACAGTTTTATGCATTATGATATAAAATACTTGATGATTAGAGAAAGAATATAGAAATAATTAATATCAATTAAGAACTTGAGCTTCATTATATTGATTGTTAATCTATTCATTTATGATTTATAATTTAAAGTGTTTAAAAGAATATGTTTTTATTATTGGATTTGTCAACAACATATAAAAGATATAGTGATGTATGTCTGAGTAGATATCATAATTGATATTTTTGTTTACGTAATTAAATTTATTTATTTTTGTTATCATATTAAAATTTAATATATATATTTATATTATATATTATCTTGACAAGATAAATTATATGATCCATATGGATCATTTTGAACTATATTAGGAAGGATTAATGCTGTTGTGATATATAAAAGGAAGTATTATATTGATGACGTATATTTGTTATGACTCGGTAGTTAGATTTATTGGATTTATTAGTTCGTTTTATAAAATTCATATGCACGTATAAAATATTTTTTTTAATTTTTAAAATCTAATTAAATAAATTTTTTTTTAAATAACTTTTTATTTATTTATTTTGATTTTAATTTTTTTAAATTTTAGTATTTAATAGGTCAATTAAAAAAATATTAGATTATGTAATCTTCTTTAATTAGATAAGATATATTATAGATATGATTGATTTTTAATTATAATTATCGATCAACAGTAAGAAAATATACTTATAATAGGATTCTCTTAATTACCAACGAACACCTTTTACTCTCGTATATAAATGTAGAAGAACTTGTTGGGATGATAAAGACTAGTTATTGAGATTATATATTTATTCTCAATCTCTATTAGTCCTTAATCGATCGCTAATAATGATCTATCTTAGTTCAATTCCATAAGTTGTGACAATTGACATTTGTGAAATTGTGACATTGACAATGATATTGAATCAGGCATTTAGATTGGTTTGATTAATTAGATTGAATCGATTAAGAGCTTAAGATAATAAATTTGATCAAATTAATATTTTTAAATTAAGACTAATTCGATTAATCAGATCGAAGAAGAATATTTTCTTAAACCAGAATAATTTATAGTCTTTAAAATTAAATTATTAATAAACAGATCTAGATCAAACCATTTCATTTTAGATCTATTTGATTCTGATTTGATTTCAATTAATTTTTTGATTTGATTTAAACATCCTTTTTGCATGCACTCCCAAACTATATTCAACATGCACCTTAAAAAATTAATAATAAAAAAATAAAAAGTAACTTATTTTTTTTAAATACTAAAGTAAAAAAATAACTTATTCAACAAAATCACACAGTAAAAAAAGAAAACCCTGACAATATCAGAAAATAAAATAATAATAATAAGCATCATCATCATGTTCACGTGGCCAGAGAAGAGGAGTTGGCAGTGTTGGAAGGAAGAGAGGAGAGGAACGAAGAGAGGGGAGGAAGAGATGGGAGAAGAGAAAGATGACGGCTCTTTCGTGCGTGGAGGAGGACGTGCTGCGCTGCTGCGGCAGCAAAAGGTTCGCCAAGGAGATCGTCTCGGCCTCCCCCTTCACCAATCTCGACCACGCCCTCCGATCTGCCTGCGACATCTGGTTCGACAAGGTCTCCCCGTTGCCGTATTCCTAGTTCCTCTTCCCGTTCTTCTCTCTAGCCTGTTGTGATTCCATCTCCCTCTTGATTTCTAATGAATCTTGTACGTCGACGCCGTCGGATGACCCGAGGCTTTCGCGGCTCACCCGGCGATCGGAGCCGCCTCTCCTTCCGTCTCCCAAACGATTCCGCCTTGCAAGTGATCCTCCGACGTGTCATTAATTGTTTTACTGAAATATCTTCTTTTAATTACGTCGACAGTTATTAACTTCTCCTTTGTTTTTTTTAAATGGAAGGAATTGGTGGAATGGAATTTTCGGTACAGGGAGAAGTTTGGGTTCGTGTTCCTCATATGCGCATCTGGGAGGGGCACGACGGAGATCCTTGCTGAATTAAAGGTCCCATTTTTCTGAACAAACTACCGTTTTGCTGAATCATGCTTTCCAATTACTTTTAACAAATAACAGTTTTAATGATGGTAAGATGGAAGATACTATTGCTACTTAAAACTATCTTTTCATTGGAATCTTGTTAGGTCTTACCACTACATAGAACTACTCATCAATGTTGTGTCTACTACCTCTGCCAAGAGGCTCTTTTATCCTGTGCTGTGTGTTCCTGTGGTTTTTTATGCGCATGCAAGGATGGATCTTTATCCTGAATTTAGCTGCATCCAAAGACATCTGAAAAATTGAAGTTTTTTATGCTTTATAGATTCATATTTTGTGTTTTTAATCCCAAAAGAGGGACACCCTTAAGCCCTAACTGTAGAAAGAGTAAGAAAAAAGGGGATCAATAACAAGAAAATAGGTTGACGTTGTATTTCTACATCTATTGATATAATGGAAATTGGAAAGATGCTGAGTTACATGTTTAGAAGTGTTACTTTGATATAGTGTTCTTGAATGTTTTGGCACTCGATAAAGATGGTTCAAGGATCTAGAGAAGGAATAAAGATGGATGATATGAAACACTCTT